AAACTATTTACTACGAATTTCAGTACCTAATATCATATGTATTAATCAGATTGATAACTTACAAATATTAAAATCATGAAAAAACAATATGTACCCGAGTGGAAAAAAATCAATAATAATAATAATTATGAAGTAATAATATTGAGGAAAAGAATGATTGCCACGATACAAACGCCGGTAGAAAAACCCTAGGTTGACTCCTTCAACTTTGATAGTCTTCCTTTCTTCCTAAAATTCATTTTTTTCCATTTTTTTTACTGCGGATCAAAGAAGAGGCGATGGGTGAGGGTTTTAAGAGATGAAGGGGTTAGGTGGGTTGGTTAGTGAAGATAAGAGGAGATTAAGGGGTTGGTTAAGCATTATATCACCAAACAACTCTTACGATTTGTGAGAGAATAAGGGAAAGATGGAGTTGAGCTTTCTTGATTCGAAAACACTCATGGGCCTTACATAGATTTGTTTATTATTATTTTTTAATTCAAAAACAGATGTGCCTCCTATATAATTGATTAGTATAAGAAAATTTGATTATTACATCTTTTAAAACCCACGAACTTATAAAATTATTTTTAAACCAAAAATATTTCATTGCGTTCCCTTTTTAAATTCACTTTGTATTTTCAGCAATTCTATGTACCGTGTAAGATGTTGTTTATTACAATCTGCTTTATTTTTATTATAGGCAGATACAATAAGGTGTATTTTGAACTAAATGTATATAATGTGATTTTTTTTTTGTAGCCATGGCTTGCTATATTTTTATTCTAGATTGTTAGGTACATGGTGTATTATCAAACCAAATTCTTAAAATCATTTCCTCCCTTTTTTCGCATCAATGTAAAAATGGATGAGTTTAATTTGTCTACGGATCCAAAAGTTTACCCTCACTTATTTTTCAACCCACAGACTCGTTGAAAGGGATTTTGCCCATAAACCTAGAGTTCCACACCCGTTTATTTTTAAATTAACATGCTTTTAAAGTCACTCTAAAACTCAAAATATTCCACTTAATTAATTTTAAACCATCTTTGCATTTAGCAGTTTGTTATAGAGTATAATTAGTTTCTATATTTTGTTATTACTTGCTATATTTATGTTTTTAAGTCATAAGATATAGTGTAATTTTAAACTAAATTCTTAAATTATTATTTTCTGTCTTTGCACTAATCTACAAAATTTATTTTGCCCATAAACCTATGTTTTACCCTATTTATTTTTTAAATCTATTCACTTACTAAAAAGGAAATTGGCTTATGAACCGGAAGCTTTTGCTTCCATTAATTTTTAAACCCACTTGCTTTCAAAATACTCTCTGTTTGGAAACCATTGTGTTTTACTTGTTTCCATAGTGTTTTTGCCAAAAACAAAACACCATGCGTTTGAAAACCATGGTGTTTTTGAGCTAAATCATCCTCAAACCAAAAACACAATACTTATTTCAAAACACCTAAAAGGTGTTTTAACTTTGGTGTTTTGGTTTTGAGTTTGAGAAGGTGTTAATATAACATCTAACATAATATATTAAATATAATTAGCATAGAGTTATTATCAACATGCTTATTATACTTTACTATACTATATTATAGTTAATCTAATATATTAGTAATATTTATTAAATAATATAAAAATATAATAAATAAAATATCTTATATAAAAATATAATAAAATATCAAATACTAGTATTTAATATGTTAACAATGTATTATATAATAATAAATAATAAAAAAATATAATTAAATAAATAAATAATAAAATATAATTAAATAAATAAATAATAATAGAAAAGTTATTGATAATAAATAATAATATAAATATAATAATATACTATACTATACAAATATCATAAATACTAATATATTATTAAAGTACTATTAATAAACTCTAACATATTAAAAACTATAATATATTATATAATATTAAAATATTTATAATATATTAATCTAGTAATAACATAATATTAACATTATTAATAATATTATATTATATGAATAATAGTATAATATTATATTATATTAATAATAGTATAATATTATATTAATAATAAAATAACATTATTATAAAAATATTAATATAATATATAATAATAACAAATTGATATACGAAAATAATTAAATATATAATTATTTGAAAATAATATGTAATAATTATAATATAATATAACTCATTAAGTACGTATAATATTATAATACATTATACAATTTTGATATTGCATTGTATTTAATACTTCTAATACTATAATAATGTAAACTAAATATTATAACATTTTATTTACAATATATTTTATTATAATTAATATATAATATATTAATAATATGTTTAATACTAATATTGTAATGGGTCAAACTCGTGTTGATCAAAGGTGGTTTGAAAATGTTTTAAGGGAAAAACACAACATCATGGTGTTTTTTACAAAAACACAACAAAGAAAACACAATGGTTTGTTTTTATGTACTTTTTTAAATTTTAAATCATTATATATAGTTTGTTTTTAGATCAAATTTTTACTTTTTAGGGCCTTTTTTGCACCAATCTACAGATTGGATTTTCACCTATAAATCTTAAGTCTTTACCCCCATTTATTTTTCAGTCCACAAACTTATCAAAAGGGTTTTGTGCCTAAACCCAACGTTCTTAACCTTATTTGTATTAAAACTCATCCACTTTCAAAGTTACTCTTAAAAATAAGAATCCACCAAGTAAATCCAATGTAGTTTGACAACTTGATACAAGATAAGTTTTTGTTCTAAGTTGCTATATATTTTTTTACTTTTAAGTGGTTAGATATGTACTATATATTTTTAAACCAAATACTTAAATTATTATTTTTGCTTACATTTTAAAACCTAATACGGAGCAACACGCTAGTCAATTTAACTAGTTTCAAACTAAAACGATCCGAGGAAATAATTAAAAAAAATTCAAAATAGACCCCTTTTGAAAAATAATCACTTTCAAGCTAGTTGCAACTTATTTGTCAAATTCGTTATAGTTTCAACCACGTTAGCAATGTTGTATGAAACTAGGTCGAATTTGATAAATAAGTTCTACGAACGACCCGAGATTGAGAATCCCATGTAGTTTAGTAGAAAATCAAACCCCACTGATTCTCAATCCCATATAGTTTAGAATTCTACTAAGCCCCATGGGACAGGGAATCTGGTGGATTTTATGGCATACAAACTAGATGAGATTCACAATCCCGTATAGTTGGGCCAAGTAATGAATTATTTTTTAATGCTTAACTTTTGAATAGATAAATATAAAGATAAAAAATAGATTAATCGGAAGATAAAAAATGAGTTTCAAACTCAAGACCATTCGAGTGATTGAAGTCTAACTCTCTTAGAGTTCACCACTTAGCTATATATAGGATTGTAAATCATGTGTAGTTTGTATGTTATAAACTCCACATGATTCACAAATCCTATGGGATTTCATGTGAGTTTTAAACTCAACAGGATCGAGAATTCTGTAGAGATTAATTCTCTACTAAGCTCTACCAGATTCTCAATCCCATGGAGTTCCTAGAGCATAGTTCACAATTTCGACCTAGTTTGACTCCACATTGATGACGTGGTTGAAACTAGGTAGAAATTGCTAAACAAGTCACAACTAGATCAATTTTGATGATTAAATTACTAAAATGATCTATTTTAAAATTTTGTCATTAAAAAATATATCTCCCCTCTGTGTTCACTTTCATCTCCTTTTAATTTTTTTTTTGAGAAAGGAAAATAGATAAAGAACTCTCTCATAACTCTTCTATTTCCCATTAATAAGTACAAGGCTAATTAAATTTTTTGAGAAAGGAAAGTAGATAACGAACTCTCATAACGATTCTACTTCCCATTAATTACATTGTTAACGGGAACAACAATAAACAAGTTAAGAGGCGTGGAGCTGACTTTCTCTCACAGAAACCAGACCACGCAAACCTTCACAAGCAACCTCTGGAGAAATTATTAAACACAAATTTTATTTTAGACCCTTTTAGAAATTTATTTTTAAAAATCTACATCTTTTAGATTTATTCACAAAAATTTTGATTCAGTTTCAACCAACTGAAACTGGGTCGAAATTTGAGAATAACGTAGAAAAACTTCACGGGATTTAGAATCTCGTAAAATTTAGTCCTTAATTAAACTTCACGGGATTCTAAATACCGTGAAGTTTAGAATTAGCCTAACTCCATTGGATTTTAAATTCTGAGGAGTTCAATATAACATGGTCTCTATAGTTGGCCAAATGGTTAGCTCAAAGAAGGCTAAACTTTAATCATTCAAGTGGTCTTAAGTTCGAATCTCATCCCAACGTATTTTTTTTAAAAAAAACTATAAGGCTAGGATTTGAAACATGTGCTTCCCATCCAAGTCTTATAAACTAATGTTATAACCACTAAACCTATTGCATATAACTATATATTTTATGAAATTTATTTAATATAAACTTCACGGAGCCAAGATTTTTGGTTAGCGCTAATTACGGGATAAATCCCGTGAAGTTTTTAAACTTTATTCGCAAATTTTGATCCAGTTTCAATCACCTGGTTGAAACTGGGTCGAAATTTACAAATAAATCTGAAAAGGGTGTATTTTTAAAAATTAATTACTCTAAGGGTCTGAAATGAAAATTTGTCCAATTATTAATTACGATGAGCAAACGCGTACCCACCCGCCGTCATGCGAACTTTGTCCTCTAGCTTCTTCTTCTTCTTCAACTCTTTCAGATTACGACACCAAACAATAAAAAAAGTCTCCCCCTCCCCATTCCTCAAACGTCTCAACCTTATCGTCATTCTCGCCATCCCCAATTACAAATCCCCAAAAACCAACCCCTTCTTATTTCTATAAATAGTAAAAACATTCCCCCCCCCCTCTCAGTTCCATTTATTGACACTCACGGTCCAATGGCGCAATTACAGGCTACAACGCCCAGCAGGGAATCTACACCTCCCCTCGATCTCCGATCAACTTTCCCCTCCGACCCCAGCCTCTCTATGATCTCCTTCCTCTTCCGCCGCCTCGATTCCTTCCCCGACCGCCCGCCCTCATCGACTCCGACTCCGCACGACCGCCCAAACCCTAACCTTCCGTCAGCTCCGCTCCGCCGTCTCCTCCTTCGCCTCCGCCCTCTCCCGCCTCGGCATCCGCAAGGGCGACGTCGTCCTCATCTTCGCCCCCAATTCTGTCCTCTTCCCCGTCTCCTTCCTCTCCATCATCTCCCTCGGTGCCATCGCCACCACCGTCAACCCTTTATACACCGTCGGCGAGCTCAAGAAGCAAGCCCTAGACTCCGGCGCCAAGCTCGTCCTCACCGTCCCCGATCTCGTCCCCAAAGTCAGCTCGCTCAACCTTCCAATTATTCTACTAGCTGAAAACGCCAACAAAGATGTTTCGTTTCCCACATTTTACGACCTAATCAAGAATCAATCGCCGTCGGAGTTCGCTCCGCCGGAGATAAATCAGGACGACACAGTGGCGCTCCTCTACTCCTCCGGGACCACGGGAGCGAGCAAAGGGGTCGTCTTGACGCACCGCAACTTCATCTCTGTTGCTATGATGGCGGTTCAAGACCAGGACACGAGAGGGGAGCCGCCGAATATTTTCCTTTGTTTTCTTCCCATGTTTCATATTTTCGGGCTGTCGGTGATTACTTTTGCGCAGCTCGCGAGGGGGAATACTGTGGTGGTGATGAAGAGGTTCGATATGGAGATGACTTTGAGGTCGATAGAGAGGTATAGAGTTAGTTATTTGTTTGTTGTGCCCCCCGTGATGATTGCTCTCGCGAAGCAGGGGAAGGTGACTAAATATGATCTGAGCTCGCTGAGAAGGCTTGGGTCAGGGGCGGCTCCTTTGGGAAAGGATGTGATGGAGGAGGTAGCAGGGATTTTTCCTCAAGCTGATATTGTTCAGGTATAATTTTTCATCTATAGTTTGTTCTCCCTGCAGATGGTTTTAAGTATGTCTTTGCCAAGTGTTTTGAGATGAAATGTTATGATGGAACGTTATGAACAGACGTGATTAACAGTAGGGGCAAAAGATAAAGATGGTGGGTTTTATTATTCTTTTAGCATAATGATACCAAAAATATGCAATTTGTTAGGAGTGCCTTGCATCCATGTAGTTGAATTGTGGGTTTTGCCTAACACAGGCACTAGAAAGACAATGAGATATATATGGTTAAATATGCATGGTCTCATGACTCAAAACACATTAATCCTTTCAAGTCAATTGGGTCCAAATAGATTAAGACAAGACCATCTCGGTTAATTGGCCTTTGCAAATCCAATACAAACTTTGACTGGAAGAGACCTTTGATTGTTATATTTTGTTTGCTAATNCCCCCCCCCCCCCCCCCCCCCCTTTTTTTTGGTTTTTTAATATGGGTTAGATGTAGATTTTTAACAGTCGGAACATTTATCCGAACTATTATTATTATGTAGGAATATAAAGAGTACTGTTGCAAAAAAAGTAATGTGGCTTTGTTAGTTATTCCCACCTTTGGTATATGAACTCAGATGATTTACATGCTTCCATCCTATTTGAATTATAATCCTATATTGTTGAAGCACAAGTTGTGCTGTGAATGTGACATAATGTCAATTGTTACTGAAGGAGAGGGGGGAAAAAGCTTATCCCTATATATTTGATGTATTGAAATATAGATCTCTTAAACATAGGAAGTAAGAAGAACATAACAAAATATTTTATTCGCAGATTATGGTATTTGGTTTTTGTTTTGCTAAATATGAACCATATCATGTAATGTGATACCACGCTACTTTGACCACACTTACATGCTTAAGGAGATTAGCATAGTCGTTTCCCTATCCATATTTGCTTAGTCTTATTATTTTGACCACATTTACATGCTCAAGGAGATTAGAATAATCATTTCCTTATCTATAGTTGGTAGCATTTTTAGAATATGCACATGTGCTAATCAGTTTCAGTTCACCTAATTCCATCACAGAAGTAAATAATGGATATGCGTAGGAGTAAGATAAGCACTATAAAATTTATCATGATTACATTTTTAATTCCAAATATTGAAACCAGTGACTGTGAGTCAGGAATATTTTGTTCATCTGTGGTTCTTTATCCTTTGTCTATTTGCGCTCATGTTATACCCCTATGTTAGATACCTTTGAATTGTAAAATTTTGGATCTGGAGAGGAATTCCGTTTGACGTTGAAATGTGAATGGCCTATTTATCATGCGACTGCATAAGGGGGTTGAAACAGTGAGAAAAAGCCCTTTCTTGTGTTAAACAATGTGCCGGTTAGAAAATCGTTGATTTTAATCCATTTAACGGCTGTATGAAATAGCAGCAAGCAATTTATTTATTCTACCCTATCAACAATATTAGTGTTGGTTTCTATGGTTTAGAAAGATCATAATGTTAGCATCAATTCTGTCTGATTCAAGGAGAGCGACAATGTTTGTCAACATTGTGTACATTAGTAGTCATTACCCATGTAATGTTGTCCTTGATTACCTATTTTACATTAAAGACTTTTTCGTGAGATATTATAATTTTCCCTTTCAGAACTGCTCTATTAAAACTTCCTCTATGCAGGTACTAGGTAGAAATCTTTTCATGGAAAAATTCACATCAGTAGGATAGAAAACTCACTGCCAATGATTGTCTTATATGATTGTAATGCCACCATCTTCTCATAAAGCTAGCTGGTAGCTTCCAGTTTCTTATGAATTAGTTAGCCTCTTCATTTGTGAAATAAGTCGAAGTTAATTATGTTTAACAACATTTTCTCTTTCCGAGCAGGGGTATGGTTTGACAGAGTCGTGTGGTATCGTATCACTTGAGCTTCCTAGAGGAGCATCTCTTCGCCAATATGGTTCAACAGGTAACCTTGTCTCAGGAGTTGAAGGCAAGGTTGTTAGTGTAGATACGCTGCGGTCTCTTCCACCTAATCAACTGGGCGAGCTCTGCTTTCGAGGACCAAACATGATGCGAGGTATAATACTTTTGTTATGTGTTCTAAAAAGACTACTCTTAGCATGTGATAACCAGTTGCTGAGACGTCTTATGCTGTATTTGGGAAAAAGAAAATTAATGAATCCCAGTTAATTAAGAAATGATTTGCCTTAAGAAGTAGGCAATAATAGACTTATGCTTGAAGTAAACAATGGTAACTATTAGCCAGCCTGCTTAAACATAAATAGCAACTAATGGATACAGAGTCATGCTTAATAGACCAAAGCTACAGTCAAAGTGATTTTGTTTTAACATCTTGAGTATTTTTTTTTCTGTGAATTGTCTTTTTGCTAGCAGCTGCGGTTATGCATTTTAGTAAGTCGGTGTGTAATTCTCCCAGATATTCAATATTGAATGCACTATCCAACGGGGTGATCCCGTTCCCTTTATGATTTATGGTTAGTTTTGAAAGACTATTCACCTGACAGTCTATATACGGAAATTAAGTTATTTGCTCATATTTTGAAGGATCTATTAAAATCTTATTCTCTGTACATCTTAACTTTTTGCATGTAATATTAACTAATATATTTCAATTTTAAATTTGTTCAGGTTATTTCAACAATTCACAAGCCAGTAAGTTGACTAAAGATAAGGAAGGGTGGTTACACACAGGTGATCTTGGGTACTTCAATGAAGAGGGACAACTTTTTGTCGTGGATCGCATAAAAGAATTGATCAAGTACAAAGGTTTTCAGGTAACTTTACATGGAGTAATTTTGGGTTTTTAACTTTTACGATTGACTTATATCTTTTATTTATCAAATTTTATTGAGCTGGACATGGTTGAATCAAATAGCAGAACAAACTATTTGAAGAAACTGACTTTTGTAGGTAAAATGACAAGATATATTCACCGTCTATTTTGTAACTGGATGCAATAATCAAATTAAGGTACATTGAGGGGAAGTCATTAATGTCATAGATATAGTATCTATGAGCAGTTTTCATTTGTGAAATTAAAATGGATCCCAATGTTACTGAACTAGCATACAGAGTTAATCTGATTGTGGAAGTGCTGTAAACAGTGGCAAATAGTGGTGCTATGGCGGGCGCAATAGCGTTAGCAGTCTATGCTCGTACTGCTATGGTCGAAAGCAGTGATCTTTAGCGGCGTTGGCGCTATTAGCTTGAAATAGCGGCCAATAGTGTGTAAAAGCGCTTCAAAGTGCTTTACATTGCTTTAAAATATAAACTATCGGTTTTGTACCTGGCCCAAATTCTTAAGTAAATGAGTTTTTTCTTACCCGACCTGAACCCAAGTCGTTTTTTTACTTAAAACCCGTTTCTTTTCCCGATACCATCTCTCTTCACTGTTAAAAAAAAAAACTAACCTCGAATCGCCACCACCGCCTCTCATCATCGAAGATCGTCGGAGCTCCACAACCGCCTCTTGTCATCTTCTCTTCATCGAACTTCCACCTTCTCTTATCGTCGAACCTCCAGCTCGTCTCTGTTCTTCATCAGAGCTTTTTGGTCATCCTCTCTATGCCTCGTGAAGCTCATCTTGTTACCTTGACTCGGTCTTGTGTGACCAAATCAACGTTTCTCAGTTGAAAGAAACGTGGAAAATAGAAAAAAATGTGAAAAATGGGGTTGTTGAGAGAAAATCTCTCAGGGACGGTTATGAGGGGGTGGAGATGATGAGTTTGACCCCTATAAAAGGAGGAGCGTTCTCTTTGAGAAAACACAACAAGAAAGAAAGAAACAAACCCCTAACCTATTACCGGAGCGCCCTCAAAGAAATCCGTTGTTCTTTTCCCTCTTCTCCGTTATCGATCACTGGTATCAAAGTAGTGGTTCTCCATCAACTTCAAATCCCGCTGCTATTTTTCCCAACAAAGAAGAAGCTGTAGGATCTGAAATAGATACACTAGAACACTAGAGGGGGGGTGAATAGTATTTTATTAAAATTTATGCAAAGTAGATTATAAATTACAAAGAAAAATAGCAATCTCAGAAATTCACAATCACAAACACAAGGATTTATACTGGTTCCACCAATCCGGTGTACATCCAGTCCCCAAGCAAATCCCGCTTGAGAGTTTCCACTATGATTTTGAATAAACTTATAAAATCAAAAAGCAAACCTGAGCAATTTGTAAATCCCTACAAATTGCAACACCAATTGACAAACACCTTGTCAATTTGCACAGCAATCTCTAAACCAAGAGATTAACACCTCTCACAATTTGAGAGAACTTTTGAAGTAACAATTTCAATTCCTATAAGCCTTGATTTGTAGTGTAGTGTAGTAGTGGCTTAGGAATGATTCTAACTTCTGTAAATTGCCTAAACAATAAGTATTTGAATGATGTTCAGAGGCAATTTCAAAAACTTTTTTTTCTCAAAATTTGAATATTTTTCACTTGAAAAAAATGCACAAAGATCAAAGCTTATGGGTATGTAAATCTCTACATTTTTTCTAAACCGATAACCTATTTATAGCCCTTGAAAGACAATTTTTTTAAACTTTAAAAACGTTTAAAAACGGCTATAAACAGTCACAAATTCAAACTTTGAAATCTGAAAAACTGTATCTGTAGTCGACTACAATACAGATTAGTCGACTACACTGAGTTCAAACAGACTCTGTGTATTCAGAAAATTTCTCAGTAGTCGACTACAATGCTCATTAGTCGACTACACTGTATTTTGACAGAAACTTGTAAAATAAAATTTTCCTTCAGTAGTCGACTATAATGTAGATTAGTCGACTATACTGTAAAATAACAGAAACTTATGTTTTTGTCAAACACCTGAGTAGTCACTTATAATCTACATTAGTCGACTATACTGTAAAATGACAGAAACATATATTTAAGTTTTATACACGAGTAGTCAACTACTATTCTAATTAGTCGACTACTAAGAGTAAAAATTATGATATAAAAGGTTTTTATACCCAAGTTTTAACTATAATTCTAATGGTTAACATAGGGGATTTCTATAGTTAACCAACACAATAAGCCTGTGTTAGTGTGCTCTAATATTGTGTGTGTTCGTGTGTATGATCAATGCTTGTACAATAATTCTAAGTAAAGAAAATGTAAACTACATTATCTCATATGTTCTTCATCTTCTTCACTTCATAATGCCTTGAAATCAACTTGCACTTCATATTTTGATATTAAAATCTGAATATAAAAGTTAGTGCATTTGTATAACACACATTGTATTAATTGTTATCATCAAAATACTATCATGGAGATATGATATTCAACATTCTCTTCCTTTTTGATGATAACAAATAATTTATGCATAAGTATGTATTTTATAATCAGGTTTAAACATAATGAAATAACCATACTTACTCCCCCTGCATATATGCAAATTTGAGTCTATAACAATACATAATAACAGTATATGACTATTTCTCCCCCTTTGTTATCAACAAAAAGAGAAAAATATTTATGCTAAACATGACATTATTTCTTCAACATGAGCTAACACTTCAAACAAATCATCCAGGTTATGAACATAGTCCATAACTTTACCCATCCAAATAGGTAGGCAAAGACTTGTCATAAAGACCAAAATTTCCACAATGTTTATCACCATGATCTGTTTAAAATATGTAGCACATATATTAACTAACCAAACATTATCATAGATAATTAAACACACAATCAACATACTTGACATAGTAGCAACATAAATAACACATTACATAAGTCCTAACAACTCATAACTACAAAGTTTTTGATACTTAAAACAAAATAACATAATTGTTTTGAAACTTAACATAAAAACATTCTAAGGTGCTGGAGGAGGTTGCTGTTCTTGAAAATATGCATTAAGCTTTGTGTCCAAGTCTTCAAACTTCCTAAGGTGCTGGAGGAGGTTGCTGTTCTTGAAAATATGCATTAAGCTTTGTGTCCAAGTCTTCAAACTTCTTGATTAGCTCTTCTTGATTACTAATGATATATGAATTCTGAGAATATAGAGCTCTTTGACCAGTTTCAAGTTCAAGAATACGTGCACTTAAAGTGTTGTATTGTACGTCTGAAAAGCATGAGGGTTCTGTAGGAAATGGTGGTGGTTGACTAGAAGAAGCTCCTGCTTGAGTTGAAGATTGTTGAATATCTTGTGGAATTTCTTCTTGAAGAGGTTCATTTTGAGGATTTTGTTCTTGAATTTCAAAATTTATCAACTTCATCCTAGTTAGGGCATTGGAATCAAAGAATTTAATGGAACGGACAACATAATTTTCAGATTGAAGATCCACATGAAATTTGTCAAAGATTTTTGTTAAAAAAGCACCATAAGGAAGAAATCTTCTTGGTATTGTCAGAAGATTATCAAAGTAAACTTCAGCCCAATTAACTTGGATATTTTTCATTATAGCATATAGAGCTTTTGCTAAATCTAGGAAAATGAAATGAAAACTCCCAGTTTTTGAAAATAGGTTATAAGCTAGGATTCGTGCAATGAATCTAGGAATTGGACGAAGTTTGTTTGAGTTATTTAAAGTTTTGTCATATCCAGGAAGAAATATATGATTAGATAAAAGATCAGAATCATTCATCCTAACTGACCTAAGACGGTATCGAGATCCCCTCTGCCGGTATCTGCATCCACATACTCTTCCTCGGAGGTCTCGTCATCGTCACTCGTAGGGAGAAGTCCTTCTTCGTCTGAGACAAGAGATTTGGCGTGCTCTCTTCTCCGCTTCTGAGCTCTGCGACCAGCCATCATAGCAGCCCGGACCGCGTACTCAGACTGCAACTCTGAGAGGCTCCTCACGCTGATGGACTCATATGCAGAAAGGAACCACTTGCAGCTGAGGAAAGTGATCAGTGGCTTACGCCGATACGAAGGAAGAGCAAAACGGGCTCCAGTGCAGCCCACCATCGTCCATAGCCACGCTCGTACGCCATCAATCAATCCTCCCTCAATTCCTTTAACAAGAGTCTTAAGTTTTTCAGAACCACCAATAGTTCTCACACGTTCTATATTAGTATAGAGCAATTACACAAGAAATGAATATGTGGGTTTTTTATTTTCAGCAGAAAATAATTCAAGCAATCCCACATTTTTAAAATATGACCAAAAATTCTAGGGAATAAAATCATCAAATTTCACAAATCGTCCTGGAAGAACTTCAAAAGATGATATTTTGTTAAATTCTTCTAATAAATCAGGACTTTTTAAATAAATGATGATTTCATCATTGACAGAGGTATGGGTTTGCTTCGCTTTCTTAGATCTAGACATAATGAAACAGATAAATAACCAAAAATTCAAAGATCAAGTTTAGAAATATACCCCAAACTGTTTGAAATCCTAGATTAGTCGACTAGAACTTGGAGTAGTCGACTACTGATCTTGACTGCTTGACAGATATGAAAGAAAATTAAAGAATTTGATGAAGAATTTGAGAAGATTGAAGATGCCCTAACCTGGAATCGACAGATCTGAAGGGAGGAAGAAGATAGTCGGTTTTTAGATAGGTTAGTGGGTAGTTTTTAGATTTTTATTATATCTTTTAAAATAATTTACAATGTATGGTTTAGATTTGATAGTGAATTAAATGTAGGGTTAAGATTTGATCTTAGATTTGTGGTTAGGATTGATAGAGTTAAAAATCTATGGTTGAGATGAGTTTTACTTAACTGAAACGGGTATTGGGTATTGGGTTTTGGATTTGAATTTAAGTAAAAATCCAATAAGCTTTAAAACTGTAAAACTGAGAGTT